AAATGACAAACTAGCCCTGAAAAGAAAATCCAGCCATGTTTGCTGGGCTAGCATGGCCCATTTTGACAGCCCTTAACAGGGAGAGCTTATTTTTGGAAGGGAGATCTGATTTTTGGAAGGGAGGCCTATTTGTGAGGTTACTGAGGGCTTAATATTGGATTGCATTATATAATATGTGTAAAATATTCATTTGTGCACAGGTATTCTGGTAATGCACAAATTTATGGACTAAAATGTTTCAATTATAGTAGATCGGGATCTATTGGGGACCTGTTTATATGATCTAGACTATCCAGAACACATTCTTGAAGCCTAATTCATGTTGCCTGTTTGGTATACAGTGCTTATTGGTCCTTATTGTATATGGTGAATTTCTTGGCTTACATATAGCCAGGATTCTGGCAATGGAAACCTCACGCTTAGCTAGGCTGATAGTAGCAGGATAGGGTAGAACATACTGGCAAATGTCGTCTCCCACCTAGCCAGGTAATATGAACAGGGCCCAATTGTGACAAGTGAGCCAGATGAAGTAAAAAAACAATGAAGTTCATATACAGGTATATATCCATAAATTTTGATACCTGAACACCAACATTGAACAAAATCATTCTGTCCCAATGTCATCCATCTTCCTTAAGTTTAGGACTCTGAGACCAATGAATATATTGTCAATCAAGGATTAAAACCAATGAAGACAAGTGTTATGGTCAAACAAACGAAAATATTCATGTCCACAGGCTGCAACACGCAATGTTGACACATTATTTTGAAGTTGACTAAGCTCGACTAAATGTCGAAATCGACGAAAAACGAGCCAAAAAACAGTTATTGAGCTAATCAATCAAATAAATACTTGGCATAAGTTTGAAGGTCCATAGTCTAAATATTTGATGAGCTTCTTTATCCCATTTATATCAACAAAATTTTAAAAATTCCCTGTATTTAGATATTTGCCATATTGATCGCCACGCTGTTTGGCAAGAAGTCGACATGTCAACTTGTCCCAGCCCGGAAATGTCCTGTTTACTTGTTACACAGGATATTAATAAGTTAATGTGAAAATATGAAGATAAAAGTATCTTCTAAAAAATAAAACGTCTCAAACCTCGATTTGAAAGGCTTTTAAAAACGCTAATCCGTTCGGAACCTACAAATTCGAGGGGTGGTATTTAAGCTTGCGCAAGGGAAAGTTTGAAGACCCATATCTTCGCAATCACGCAATTAATCAAAAATCGCCACGAGGAAGTTGAGGAGAATTCTTTTAAGAACAACATATATGAATTTCATGGCAAAAAAACAAAAAACCGCTTGCAGAAAAGCTCTGAAGTAACCCCATATGTTTGTTTACAAATTTCATGTGATGAAGCGTTTTACGCATTCTGATTGGCTTAGGGAAAAAATGTAAACAAAAGCGCTGATTGGTCGAGAACGAAATTCCCCCTTGTTGTGCAGAGGATAACAGACTTACTGGAACAACTTTTGCGAAGTCTGTTGGCCTCATTAATCTTGTAACAAGACGATAACAACTTGTTCCAGACTTGTTAACAACTGAGAACAAGCAGTGTGAACACATCCTGTTGTGAACAACAGGGGCAAGTGTGGCCATTACATTACTTGATGCTCACCTATGAGAGGTTCCAATGCTCGGATCAATACACATGCGCCAGCTTCCTTACTCGAGATGTTAAAACAATGATACATGCCATAAATAAAATACACATATGCAGTCCCGGGGGGAGCGTACATCGGTGCAGTTCTAGCCGTCTGTTTCCCCCCGTATGCATGACATGCGGGGTCTATTTCGCCCAAATAGGCTTCAGTTTCGATTATTTTTCCATAAAGGATCTCCCCCTGTTCCGTTTTTCTACACAAAACCTTCCCAAGTAATGCAACCGCTAAAGTTTCCGTCGGAGTATCAAAGAAATCACGAGTTAATCTCTTTCCAAATACTTGAGGATTAAAACTCGCAATCGACCCATTCGAGGAAGACAATGACGCCAATTTCGGCACGTTTTTTTCGTCTTTACCGCTTTCCGATTGTGCTTGCTCGTTAATATATTTGACAGTGCGTTTAGCATAATTGCTTTGCGTCTTATTGAAGTATTTGCTCTTGTTTTTAGCCTTGTTCTGTTGCTGTGTTTTGGCGTTTTCTTTCTTGTTTACACGCTTCGTTCGCGCCATGTTGAAAAATTAAAAGGTATTTTGTCCGTGTTAATTACACATAGACTGGCTCTAGAAACTTATTGGTGGAGACGGACCTCAGACGGTAGCCTAAAATTCTGAGAAAAAATTTCTATAATTTTTTTCTGAAAATTCTAAATTCATAGAAAGTATAAGAATAACAGATTTATTTATTTTATTATTTATTTTGTAAAGTTTTCATTCTGTAAGCTCATATTTTTCATTTTACATCTATTTTCCATTTATTTACATATACTTTCCATTCATTTACATCGAGAAAATTGTGCACTTTACATTATATGTACAAAAATGCTACAGTAAATTTTGCCCACATACAAAGATAAAGTACTCAGATAGAGGAAATGTTTCAAGTGACTGCCAAATATCATTTGTAATAGCCAAAAATAACTTGATAAAATCCTCGATAAAAACCTAAAAAGGAAGAAATTAGGATTCTCCCACAGATCATTTTTTGCAGCTCCCAACAACACTTGAAAATTAATGTTTAAAAACTTGAAAGAACTTCTCTTCAGTACATTGATATTAGTTAATATACTTGCAGTGATATTTGCTTGTACATAGGGTCGCATATAAAAGCTATTTAATTCAACTGATGCAAATAATTTCGACGTAAATTGTCGATGTTTAATTTTTCTCAATTCAGCTTGAGAGCCTTGTTCGCAGGCTACTATTGGTATAAATTAATAGCAGAACAGCAATCGGCTTACGTATTTCTCTTTCATTTTAATTTCAAGATGATTTACATCAATTTATTGAGCTTGACAGTGTTTAAATAGCTTTTACATATGTAGGATAACGGTAAGTATTTTCGGAAGTTCCGGAATATCTCATCAAAGTTCAATTAATCAAATTTCTTTGCAAACAAAATAGGGAATGGTCGGGAATGAAAATAAATTGTTGAAGCAGCTTTGCAAAAAATTAAAAGTCGATTAGTGCCTATAAAGGTCCATAAGACATAAGTACAAATTTACGGTTGACTTTCACGTTCAAATTCTCTTACTGCCGTGAATACTAAACTAGCTAGTCATTATATTATATCTATACTGATATATATATTTTACAACAAAATAGTATTTATAAGCCTTCGATAAATGATAAATAATATCTTGCCAAGATTAAACATTACAAGTAGCTTCTAGTAACCACTTTTTCTTGTCTGACGGAAATTATAAGTGTAGCAATCGCCCCGTCCCCCACCTTTACGGAAAATTTGAGTGTAAAAGGGACGCGGTTGTCGGAAATTTAGGAGCCGCTTTGTCCCACCGCCTTGACAACGTACATACATCGCGTGACGCCAAAATGATTTCGTGTAAACATTTCCACAAAACTATATAATAGAGACCTTACGATTTTAGGACGGCAACGTGACGGCGACGGTCAAAACAAACTCAGTTCAAATAAATGGTTGTAAAGATCAGTTCGTCGTATATTATCAATCTTAGAAGTTGAAGACATGGGTTTTATGGTTGGGAAGAGTTCTGCTAAATCCAGTTTGAAGTTGCACTTGTTGTGGCTTGGAATGCAGCCGTTGTATCAACACGTGAAAATCTGTGATTTAGCGTTGCAACAGAGCGAGGACAATGTCTAAATTATTCATATATTGTAATTACTCAATTCTTTTCAATGATCTGAGTATTGTATTGGTAGCCGTTGCCGTCCTAAAATCGTAAGGTCTCTATTACTGGCTTTCCGACGTCTAGTGAAATTGGTAGCCGTGTCTCAGCACAGAAAAATTTCCTAGAAAAACTTTCGTGGACCAATCAGACGGCGCCATTCTCACGATGCCGATTTCAGAACATTAGAAATGTAATAAAATGGCCAAAACAGGCCACCGATTACCTACTTAGAGAAATATCCGTTGTTTTTGGTAACCGTACTTACAGTAGTGCAATTATTGATCTCGTAAAGCCCCGAGAATTCTAGTTATTTTTTGTAACAAAGACCCAGCTGTCGTCAGGCTTTTTCAGCTATACAAAAAGAGCATGCGCTAGCTAGGCAATTAGCTGCAGTGACTTGTAATTTGCATAAATATTTTATTTGCATATAAAGTATTTCTAGTTTGATATATTCTTTTATATACACATCCTCAATCACTTCAAGTTAGTGTTTGCTTTGTGGCAGTTTAACATACCGACTGAGACATTTACTTAAAGAAAATTATGAATTTCGTTCACTTTGGTATCGTTTTGGGAATTCTCTGTACAAAATACACAAAGGCTGCCTGCCCAAATGGCTGTACTTGTGAACGGCAAAATCTGGATTACGGCGAATTTGTTTCATGCACTGGGACTAACATTGTTAGCTTTCCTAAAGACATCTCAAGATCTAAACAAACTATGTAAGTATCCTACATATTTTTTGTGCGAAGAAGCAATATCATTTTGCTACAGGGCACATCAAGTTTTTCTGATAGTTTTATCGAAGTTTCAAACTCGCCGCCGAGTCACGGCATCGCTCACTGAGCTAAATTTACACTAAATTGTCAATAACTGTCATCGATCTATTTGAGGCAACGAGCTTTGAGATAGTTTCAGACCATTTCAAGCCAAATAATGGCCTGAGCTAGGATATATTTCGTAGCAAGCAATGCTTTGAATACGCTGTTCAGAACTGAATCATTTATAGTTTATGACTTATGTGTTGTTGTGTATATATAGACTTTTATACATTTGCCATTTGGTTGCCCTTCCGCACTTAAGTTAGTACTTTGTCGTTGATAAGCTTTGTTTACTTTAGTACATGTCCTAAAATCAAATCGGTTGACAAACTATTCTAACTTGGAATTTTAAAAATGCTTCTTAAATAAGCTTCGACCTCTATGCTTCGACTGGCATTATATTTATAACCGTGCAGGTTTAATTGGACTCGTTAAAATGTAGCCGCCTTACGCTTTTGTTAAGACGAAAGTTTATACCGCATGGAAACGTGATTAATCATCAATGATTGCTATTTCAGTTGCAAATGGCAATACATCTCAAAGTGTATATATGTCCAGTGTCCCCTAGGAAAAGCAATATATTATATTTTGGTTTAATTTTAATTTTTAGTACACGTAAGTATTTATTTTTGGTAGTGAAATTCCCCCGAATTTCGCCCTCGAAAGCTAAACAGCCTAAAGGCCGTTTTCGATATTTGCAAACACTTTTGATCCAGCAAGTTTGAGATTATCTTGTAAGTATATTGAATGTACATGCTCACTGCTAAGTTAAGCATGGTTAGATCATGTAGAGCAGTGGTACATATTCTTGAATGCAGGCTACCCTAAAATGACCGGCACATGTTGTACAGTCTACAGAACTCATCGGTGAGAAGAGTTCAGCATGGTGAAGTAAATGTTTTTACTGTATAGGCTACCAAACGGTGTCCCCCTGTGCATGTGTTCTATCATTGTTAGATCATGCAGACGGGTAGTACATGTTCTAGGGTATTCTAAACTGTAAAGTAATCTGATGTTACACATGCGCAGATCGTAAGTTGAGTTAAATATCTCCTGTATTCTCTCCTATTTGACTAATAAATACCAGCTTTAGCTGGGGGGCAAACTATTTGCAATTCACAAGTGTTCATTAAGTGCCATATTCCAATCTCCAAGGAGCATTTGAGTGGCTTGATAGAATGATTCAGACACTAAAAGCAGCATGTGAAAAATGCAATTATGTCTATTCTATAAAGTCTATAAAACCCTCTTACAAGTAACAAGGTATTATTGTTATCTGATCCAATCTAGTATCTTTGGCTCTGGATACGAGATTGTATCGATCTATGACTAGTTTTCTATATATGCCTGTGTAGACGTGTCTAGAACCAATTAGAAACAAGACAATGTAACTACATTATCCGTCCATCGGCGGTAATTGCGACTGCGAAGATAATTTTCTGGTGCAATATGGCATGACCACGAGGCCAGCCAGTATATGATTAGTACCGTTACCAGTTAGATAGGATTAAAATAGGCAGTTCGCCAATTCATACAATACGATGGGACCCATGAGTGACTCCATGCACGGTTTGGTTAAAAAAATTCGAAGGCGAAAGCTATAGCACACTAACCAGCCCAGATTTAATAAACTGATCCTTGACAGGCCAAGCTTGAAATGGCGTTTCAACCCTAGGTATTGTTCAGAGACAAAGCACGATAACAAATCTTAAAGATATAAACAGGCAACCAAAATCACCAACAACGAATTAAAAATGTAAATTTTCGCAGCCCAGACAAGCGGAACGAAGTGGCGCCCTCGTTCAAAGAGCGTTCTATTTACTCACGAATTCTGTGGTCTTAACTGTTATTTGCTTTGTAACGATAAATGGTTGTCTTGATCTTATTGCATTAAACTAACTTAACTGCACTGATTAATGCCTAATAACAAGTAGTTTTGTCGAAAAAACCCTGAAAAAACACGCGCAGATGAAGTCTGATTCAAGCTATAGGGAGTTAATACAAGCTGTCAGTAAAAAGTAAATTAAAAAGAAGCTGAAATTCGACAAGTTAGTGTGTTCAACGGTCTTGAAGGCACTGTCGGTTCATTTATATGACTATGATAATGTTGCAATTATGTGGTATATAAATTATTAATTATAATCGAATACATGTTTGGCGTGTTCTGAATAAATATTTACTGCCGTGCCTGTTAAAAGGCGGCTCTAAATCACTTCATGTTTGCTTAATTTCGGTCATTGTAAATTGCGGGAAAATCATTAAAGATACTTGCTATGGCCTGTGCCCATTGTGGAATTTTAATTTTTGGTCACATCATTGAAATGAGGAGCCCACATAGATTGTTTTAAGCGGGGGTGTGCTCTGAACTTGCAACTGAAAGCTGAAGGACGCAAGCTTAATAACCAGCTGATCGAGTTTTCTAAGGCTTTCTTTTTTTCCCTCTGGCAACCACCTTATAAGAATTCTGTGACCTTATGATTCATGTCTGATCATGGAGCCAGATATAAAAAGAAATTCGTAATCGAAAATGAATCAGATACATTAGAATATTGATTACTCGGTTGAGTAGATCAGATAAGTAGATATGGCAATTATAGTCAGTATTATGGTCGCTAAGAGTTAAGCTAAGTTTTAGACTTTTAGTCCAAGAAGCACCTTATCGAGAAATATGCCCTGCAAAACATTTTTACATTTTAATTAAACCGCTTGGCTTTTATCTTTGGCTTATAGACTTAGGCTTAGGTTTATATCACGCATTTGGACAATTCTTAAAATATTTTAAATAAAAATCTCTTTCAATATTGGTCACTTCAAAACAAGGGTGTTCATGTCATAATATTGTTCTCATTTTAAGTATCTGGGCGGATAATGACAAGCAGTAAACACGGCGTCATTTATTTTAAGACACTCGTGGAAATCCTTTAATAGGCAAATCTGAATGGCATTTTCAAACAATACCAAAGTACGTAAAACCGTTTTAATTGTTTCCGCGTGGGCACAAACTAAAGTGCAAGCCAAACACAGAATGGCACAGCCAAACATGCTTATATAGGCAATAATTTAGACCTTTGAATTAGAGACATATTTCTACCGCATGAATTTGGTGTTTTACTATTGTATCTCAGTCACTGTTAATACAGTTAAACACTTCCTAATTCAAAACCTAACCCTAAAACCTAACGTCCAGTAATAAGCATATTAAAACAGGCTGTGACGGATTATTAAATAGAATCTAGAATTTCAGCTGTTGTATGTATTAAGACCTACATATTTTATTATTTTTATATTAACGCCTTAATAGGCTCTTAGGCCAATGTAACGATAAGAATTCATTTGAGATATTAGAACCCCTGTTTCAAGTGACCACTCTCTCGCTAAGCATCGGAACATGTTTCTCTCGAAAAGTAAAATCCATAAACGTTGCCCTATATGTAAATAGTGGAATCGATACGTTTCAGTCGAAAAGGTTTATAAAAGATTCTTAATTGAAATATCAATGTTCCTACGCACGTATCCCACCATTGTTGCCATAATAATTTCGGGGGCCGAGTAATGGAACAGGAATTGATAGTTTAAATTTTTGCCTGCGTGGGTCTGTGTGATTTCTTTGTGCAACGGACTTTCGCATGGATGTTTTGTCATATCATGATTGTTATGTAGCAACAGCCTCGTACCCAGGCTCTTTAGTGATTAATAGCGGCTTCAGAGCTTTGAGCAAGCTTTAGGCGCACGGTGGTGTAACCTCCCCAAGAATCCCCGCGCGCCTAAAAGCTCTGAAGTCGCTATTAATTACTAAAGAGCCTGGGTACGAGGCTGATGTAGCAACATGGACCACGTGCATGGACCAATACATATGTCCTGATGCGCCCCTTTGCATGACGTCACAAATATGTTAAATGACTGGATGGCATGGAGAACAGCGTGGTTTTCAAAACAACGAATTGGCAAATGAAATATTCCGATCACATGATCGTGGGCTAAATAATATTTTCCTCCACCACGATGGTCTGTCTGAGTGAGAAAATGTTATGATCAGTCTTTTTAGTTCTTCATTATATGTAGCAATTCTTCATCATATGTATTTGGTGGCAAATAACTTGAATTGAGAGTTGCTTAGTTAATGAGTCATCCACAATTATATTGCTTCTCTTCTGTAAGTGTCAACAGCATTTTGAAGTGAACACCATATGTTGCCCCGGAACGCTTATATATACTGATCATGGCCATGAATTAATCATAAACTACTCTTTTTTTAGCCTGTTAAGTAACACGAATGTGGATACTATTCCAAAGGATGCCTTTACAAATTTGCCAAATTTGATAAGAATGTGAGTGAAGGATTAATATTTTGTAAATGTTGTAAAATTTCCTTATGCCAAATTTTACACGAAGACTCGACTTGGTGTTATTGTTCTTGACAACTTAAGCGTAATAAGAAAATAGCTCTCTCCACTTGTTAGTTGCCATTTACAAGCTACCTGCTTACAACTTGAGTTGTACTGTGTAAATCAAGCACACAACTCACTTATAACAACGTCAACGAGTTGTGTGCTTGATTTAATTACAGTACAACTCAAGTTGTAAGCTGGTTGCATGCGACAGTTTTAGGCAAAGGTTGTGTAGTATGAATTGGCCTTTATATATATACCTTAATAATGTACCTTCCATTCTGTAGATTTATCAACCAAAACAAGAAACTTCGGACCCTACCGTCTGGTATTTTTAATCACACTGTTCTGAAAAAACTTGAAGTTGTGTAAGTTTATTGTTGGTTACCCATTGTTGTTTATTGTTTTGTTTCCTGTCGTTCTTTAGTCCTTTTTCAAATATTGAGTTTTGTCATGTGCTGAATTAGTCATGTGCTGAATTGTTTGTTTGTTGTTTGTTGCTTGTTGCTTGTTGTTTGTTGTTCATTACACAATTTTTCTGAACTAATGGTTCTACTGTTTTCATTTTAGCAATCTCAACCGCAACAGTCTAACGCGCGTTCCAGATCACCTGTTTAACAATCTCCCAAAGTTGAGACAAGTGTAAGTTTTTACTGTAAAGGATGATATAAATTCCCTTCATATTGAAAAAAAAACACTCTTGCAATAAATCTGTACGTGTCTAAAAGCACAGAATACTACACAGAAGTCCATCTCCATTGTTTTTTGCGTAAGCTCTATTCGTCATGATTCGTCACTCAGCAAGTACCGTAAACAGAAGCAGTCACCCCCCTGAACATACGCCATTTTTAGTATTTCCAGGGGGGTGACTGCTTCCGTTTACGGTACTTGCTGAGTGACGAATCATGACGAATAGAGCTTACGCTAAAAACAATGGAGATGGACTTCTGTGTAGTATTCTGTGCTAAAAGGC